TCATAAAATGTAGTGTCCCTGTGAATAGAGCCGAGTAAATACACTAAAAAAGAGAGGGAGGGGGGAAAGGATCAGAGTCATCCCAGTCAGCAAACGGGGCAGATATCCCCCTCTCCACCTCCGATGGCATTTTTGGGTTTGTTTCATGCAAAAGAAGCGCCCGTTTCGGGGGTTTCTTTTTTTTTTTTTCCAAGCCCCCAGTTCAAAGGGTCGGAAACGCGGCCATAAACAGCGGCTTCACCCTCCGAGGTGCCGTGATCAAAGCCGTTTTCTTTCTAAAGATAAAATGAACGTTTATATAGTGAGAAAGCGAGATTGATTTACGGATTTAAACACGCCGTTCTTATTGCGGATCATAAATCTGTCACCGGGGCTGAGAAACTCCCAACCCGCTCGCCGAGCTTTTAAAGCGACCCTGAGCTATAGAGGGGGAGCACGATCCCCCTTCGCCTATACTGAATAGACCCCCCTATATCCCTGCATATATAGACTGATATACACACATATATTTATTTCTACTTCCTCTATACCCTTTCTCTCCAGTACCTACTCAGTGGGTTGGGTTACAGGATTTTCTCACCCTTTTTTGTCCAATTTTGGGACTAAGGGGTAACGAAGGGCTTCAGCTCGGGCCGAACCGGTGCTGGGGGGCTGGGAATGGGGATCCCATCTCGGGGAAGGGGCCGGGGAAAGGCTCCCCGAGCATCCCCCCACACTGGATAGGATCCCCCGCGCAGCTCCGCACCGCTCCGCGCTGCTCCGCGCAGGCAGCCGGGCACAGAGAGGCTTGTGGGAGCGCCGTGGGCAGGGGCGAAGTGGGAGGAGGTGCTGGGGGAGAGCGGGGGGGGCTCTCAGACAAAGGAATTTCTGAAAATAAGAGGCAAGATGAGACGCGGGAGCGGGCGGGGGTTTCGCTCCTGCACTGTGGGGTTGGGGTTGGTTCCCCCCGAGTTTTGGGGATAAACCAGGGTTCTGCTGGCAGAGCCAACGCGACGCGGAAGCTCCGCGCCTTCCTTTTTTTTTCTCACACCGAAGCAACACGCCAAGACCGAGGGCTTTGAAGTGAAATCAGAGGGGAAAGCGTCTGTGGGGCCCGGGCCGGGCAGCAGAACCGTTAAACCGTGAGAAAGCAGAAATAACCCCACTTCTAAGACCCTTCTCCACTCCTTTCTCTCCTCACTGCTGCCTTGCCTCCCGGGGCTGGTTCCCGGCTTCCACGGCCCGAAGCCGCGGTGAGGGCCAGGTCGGTGGGACCCCGCACACGCAAAGTTTTGCTGCGCTGCGGGCTGAGCACAATGTCCAGCCTCGAGGAGGTCAAGGGGTTTGCGAGGTCACTCCCTGGCTATAATACACAGCTAATCGCCTAGAAAACGTGTCCTCTGCATGAACTCTCTTCCCCCGATCGGGGCTTGCCAGCGCTGGAGTTTATCTCCCCAATTTTCATCCCTTTCCTTCACTACGGTTATTACCGCACAGCTCCCGAGAAGGGGAAGCAACCAGCACCCCCAGAACACTGGCAGTACCGAGACAAAGACACCGCCAGCGACGCCGCACTTTGGGACACCAGGACCCTCCGGGACACCCTCACCAGGGGATCCCCGCACCCCGAAACCCCTCAAACCCTCCCCAGACCGGCCCGGGAGATATTGCCCGGGGAAACAAAAATATATTTCAAAGGGGAAAAGACGGAAAAGGGATGAAAAAATACGAACGGGAGAAGGTCCCCCTCTCAGTGTTCCCCCCTCCAGGGCCCCGCCAGCCCGCGCCCGAGGTCCCACAATGAAGCTCCGCGGGACTGATCCCGCACAAGCAACAGTCCCGAATCGAGGAGAAACACACACACCCCCCTCACGACGAATAACCCGCCTGGAAACTCTCTGCCGCTTCCCTCGTTCACACCGGCCAAAATAAAACGAGAAAGCAGAAGGAAAACCCAGCACAAGAATTCGCGTGTTGTTTTTCTTTCTGCCCTTTTTTCTTTTTAGCTCCTTTTTTCGCCCTTTTTACCTCGTGCTTCCCCAGCTTTCTGCTGGAAGAGCCAACAAACCGACCCGAAATGCATGCCAAGAGAGCAGCTCTGTTACCTGGTTCGCTCCCACATCCTTTTTCCAACGCCCCAGAGACGGCCCTCATGGTTTGGGTGGTTTCTTCCAAAGTGAGAGGTCTGGGGGAAGGGGGTCCCTTTGGGAAGGGGCTGTTTTGCTTTTGTTTTTCTCCCCCAGAAATAAAGCTTTCACCTTTACGATCCAGATTTTATTATTAATAAGATTATTTCCCCTGAAGATTCTTGTAGAACTCCGGGTGCTTTTTTCCCAACAGACGGTCTGCGGAGATTTGCTGTTGAATAACAATGGGAAAAGGATAAGTATTTAAAGAAAAGAAGTGATTAATGATTTTCTGTATAATTCTCGCATTTTTCTTAGCTTCTGTCTGCTTCTAATGGCTGTGAACTTTTAGGTCCTATAGAAATCTTCTTTTCTCCCCCTTCTATTCTATTCATACTTTCCAGCTTTGATTTGCTTCTATAGACCCCACATTCCTGGAAGCATATGCCTTTTTCTTTTTAAAAATAGAACGATTTTTTTGCCATTCTTAGAAGCACTATCTCGAAAATAACACCCTCTTTACAACCCCCACACATCAAAGAGAGAAACAGGAAAATAAAATGCAACAACAACACCACAACACCCCAACCTCAGGCATTACAATAAAATACAGCCTTTGCCACCCTCCCTGGGAAAAAAAGGATTGAAATATAAAGAAACTTGAAAGGTTTGTAGTTGCTGCTTCTAAACCCGCCATAGTTAACCAAAAATACAGCCATAAATCCGTTTCTTCTACATCACAGCTGTGCCATGTGACTACATTAATATTATTTTAAAGTATTAAAATGTCAATAGAAAGAAAAATCGAGCGGCCTTTGTTCGAGCTGGGGGCAGGGACACTTTGGGGGACACTTTATTTGCGCGGTGGCCGTGCGGTGACTTACTACAACTAAAGGAATAACCCATCAACACACCCTGGCTTTGAAATATTTCAAGCCCTGCCTTTGTTTGGGAAGAAATGTGGGGAGAATATTTCGGTCCTGCTGGGGGGTCCGGGAGAATTCCGTGAACATTGAACAAATAAGCAAAAGTCATTTCTTTCTTGAGAGGAGAGTATAAGAAAATGATTCTTTTCTTCAGCTGGTGCCGAGGAGTCCTCCCCCGACAGACCCCCCTGAGCACAATAGTCTAGTTTTTATACATTTGGAACTTAGAACTGGAATGTTATTTCGTCCTGAACCGTATTTTCGATACTTTCTATGAGGAAGAAAATGAAAATTAATACAAGAGCTGCGGCTCACAAAAGGAGCCATTTGTCTTCTTGATTATCTATTTGCTTGTCAGGCTCTGAGCTATCGCAGGAGCCAGCTCCTTTGTAATATCAAAACACACAGAAAACCTGCAAACACCGAGAAACATCTGTGCAAAAATTAGACTCATTAATGCATTAACTACCTCGGAGAAGGAGATTTGGGGTCTTTTTTTAAACCTGAGAAGCCTCTCTAGAGAAATCCAACGCTCCATCCATTCCTCACAGCAAAGCAAAGCGCTAATGACTCCCTCTGTTTTGGCTGAGCCCAGTTTGGGAAGAGCATATTAATATATGCTTTGAACAAATAAATCATAATATGTACGGCTTAGCAGTACTTAAGGCTGATATACCCTAGTCAAACATCTTTTGTTTTCATTAGGGACTTGAGGCTGTGCCACTGACACCAGAAATCTCTGTAAAAAAGAAACGTGCTTTTTAACTCATTTGTTGAAAATAGGTATTTTTTTGATCCTCACCGGAATGAAAGTCAACACCCCCCCGTCCCCACAACAAAAACCACACAGGGGCAGGTTCACAATGAACAGATTTATTTCCAATTGCGCTTTTGTTTTGTTTTGTTTTGTTGCTGTTGTTCCTTTTCTCTGCTCATTACAGGTAATCCTGGACAGCACGAAGGACAAAGGGAGAGAATGAAGGGTATCGGGGCGGGGGAGGCCTCGCCAAAGCTCTGGCTCACCCCGGAGGGACAAACCCTCACCCCTCCACCCCGAATTCGCATTTTCAGTGCAAAACTGGACTCCACAGCAGGAGAGGGGGGCTCCCTCCTCCTCACCCTGGGTTGTGGGGGTGAATCCAGGTGCCACAGTTCATCACCCAGCTCTTAAACCACCCCCCTGCTTTCCCAGAGTCACCATTAACCCGCTGGAAATAAAATAGCCGGTGGTGGTGGTGTCTGCAGCACCCCCCATCCTCCTGCTTTCTTTGTCCTCCAGTCATTTGACCTAATTTTCCCTTTCTCCCCCTCACTCCAGGGTGTCCCCCCACTTCCACTCAGGACCAGCGCAGTGTCTCGGAGCCCCCCCGCCTCACCCCCGTGGATTTGGGTTGTGTTTGTTGCGTTTTCCCCCCTCCATGGCAGAGCCGTGCTAGAACCGCCGAGTCTTTGGGATGGTGGGATAGAAACTTCCCGTTCGTGGCTGGAAGGCGAGAAAAGAAAAAGACGAGGGAAAAAAAAAAGGGGGGGTTAGGTGGAGGGGGGAGAAAATCCAGTTCGTCTTGAAGAAACTGAGCCTCATTTATTAAAGTGAGCGCTGGTTGTCGAGGTAATAGCAGACATAAGGTCCATCCTTTGTACGGGAGAGTAAACATGACAAATGGGGCAGAGCTTGGCGTGATTAAAGATGAAACAAGGATCCATCTTAGCCAAATCTGAAAACTACTATCTACAGCCTCCTCTTAATGGAAGAGGCACAGCAGCCCAGCTCTGCTTTGTTGCAGCTGGGTCTCCCTGTTTCCCCTATAAATAAAGAGCACCCCTCCTTCCCTCGCTTCTTGGAGCATTAAAAACAAAGTACCATGTGTTCCC